AGTAATTGCCGATTTCGGTTATAGATGTCTCTCACTCCCATTTTTATGATATCTCTGTAAATTTTATAGTGTAAAATTATTATTATTATTATTATTATTATTATTATTATGTTATTTTTTGTTATCCGTGAATGTTAGCAACAGGACAAATTGAATGCAGCGGTCAAGGAAAAGCGACCAGAATTAGTGAATACTAACAGATCTAATAAAAATATTAAAAATTACACAAGAAAATTGTACTTTCTACAAAAATTACACAAAGCATGTGCAGAACCATGATAGGATCAATAGTTCAGAATGCAGAACCATCATGGGCAACAGCTGCAAAGTGCTTACATTTAAATTCTGAAAGTGTACAGAAGAAAGTCCAGTAATCCACGCAATTTTCAATAATTAAAATTCTATTCGAACAATTGAATTCACCACAGCTCTATGAAACTCTTGTGTGAACAAATAATAAAATCTGACGCGGCAACCCAGGACGTTTTCAAGCTGAAATATTAGGTTGGCAACTAAGTAATTGCCGATTTCGGTTATAGATGTCTCTCACTCCCATTTTTATGATATCTCTGTAAATTTTATAGTATAAAATTATTATTATTATTATTATTATTATTATTATTATGTTATTTTTTATTATCCGTGAATGTTAGCAACAGGACAAATTGAATGCAGCGGTCAAGGAAAAGCGACCAGAATTGGTCGATCGTAAAGGTGTCATTTTCCAGCAGGACAATGCTAGGCCGCACACGTCTTTGTCCACTCGGCAAAAATTGATGGATATTGGTTGGGAATTGATGTTACACCCACCATATAGCTCTGATCTCGCGCCATCGGATTACCACTTATTTCGATCCCTGGACAACTCCCTTCGTGCTAAAACTTTTAATGACGATGACGCTGTAAAATCTCACTTAACTCAGTTTTTGGCCGAAAATGATCAGACTTTCTACGAGCGTGGAATTTTCAAGTTGTCAGAGAGATGGTCAAAAGGTCATCGAACAAAATGGAAAATACATTACAGATTAAACTCCATTCCAAGTAAAAAAAATTGTTTATTTCATTGAACAAATCGGCGATTACTTAGTTGCCAACCCAATAGCTTTGAATAGCACTGATGTAGCTTTAAAATGAATGCAGGTTTATCGTTGAACGATTCCTTTTTATGAAAACATTAACAGCTCAAACATCGACGATTTATCAGACATCAGAAATTTAAAATGCGCGAATATTTACTAAAGTCACTATTGTCGTGAAGATATTAAGAAACGTGAAAATTTTCATAACAGAATCAAAGGATGCCGCCATGGGAATATGGTGCATGGCCACCATACGGTGCCTCGTACAAGTTTGGTTGCCTTCCAGCAGGGGTCGGGGTGTCGGCAAGGTGTCGGCTGATAAGGAAGTACGTTGTAATTACCGACGATGCTAAATTGTTGAATAATGCAACAGAAAAAGATATAAGGACACTAGTTCCTCTCTGATATTATCGGATAGTTTCGTATCTACACCTTTAAACCGCCGATTGCGTAACCAGCGAGAACTAGAAAAGGAAAAGAATTTTCAACGTGGGAACATGCGCGAATAGATAATGTATCAGACACACTAATAAATAATGCATGCGTTTAGAGATTAGGAACGAGACCCCGAGTTTCATATCGGTAACTTTATCACGAACGAGATATAAGAATAACAAAGCAATATGGGCTTTCGTGTCCGCGTGTTTTGGGTCTCGCTGTCTTACCTAGACTATATTAAATCGATCTTAAATCATGTTAAATCTAGGTTTAGACATTGCGTTTAAAAGAATGCAAAATGATATTTCTCTCAATCTAAGAGTTTCATTGAAACATTGATGTTTTTTATATGTTTTCTTGTATCTTCTACTAAACATTTGCATTGGGTGATTATATTTTAAAATAACCAAGAGAATTGAGGCATATGGAATTGTTGTAAATATCGAACTGTTGAAAATACCAATATGCATATTATATGTTGTTCGAATAAATCTCAAAAATTAATAGTATGAATAGAGTATACGAAATGTTGGTCGCGCCAAGCGCGACGCGCTGTGGCAAAATGCTTAAACTACTCGCTAGAACACAGATGAGTTACCGTAGTTCGTGATTTTGCCATATTACCGCGTGAGCTCAGAGCTTCTCAGCTTCGGCAGTTTGCCGTAGATGGCGCCAAAGTTCATTTCCCTCGCGCATGCTCGTTGAAAATGAAATATAAACTAGGAATGCCCCGCCAAAAACAATTCTAACTAAATGGACATGAATGTTACAAAGTTTATACAAATATAGTATAGATAGTTCGCGCGCGCGCGCGAGTACAAGAATCATTCGAAAATCTAAACCAACAGAAACTTACTGTAAGAAAAAATCGAACACAACTGCATGGTGCACAGCGAGTACACCCGATACTAAAACTCCGCGATTCCAAAATCTCTCGGGTTGTAAGTGTTCAGCCGGCCCGAACCGGCCAAATTGTTTTATTACTTTATTCTTTTCTTGTCCATCATTTGTGCGAGTTACGTACGATAGTCGCACAAATGATGGACAAGAAAAGAATAAAGTAATAAAACAATTTGGCCGGTTCGGGCCGGCTGAACAGTAAGGCCGATTACGCTAAGGCCAATTACGACGGAATTAATTAGTATCGTTGATCGTCTAATTAAAGATGAACAGCTGTTTTAATTTTGAGGGATGAATTGAAATACTATAAAGCACTCAATTCGATGATCGAAGGTTGAAAGACTATCCGAGTAGTAGACTAGCATGAGCTGGAGTTTACTGTAGTTGACTGAAGCAGAGACAGAGACAGCAATAAACCAATGACCGACTAATGACTGACGAATAATAAAGAGAAATATCGGTTTCGTGTTTGTATACAGTTCCGTGGACACAGAAGACTAAAAATTGAATGGCCAGTGACGCGCGATGGAAAGGGATGTAAAAGTGACGTAGCACGCAGTGCCGCAGGTAGCAAGAAACCTTGGACGGGCGACCGAAGCGGTGCGTGCTAATGACATTAATGCATTACTCGAAAATGCAGTAATGACTTTATTGCCGGGAAGGAGACGGTTCGAAAAGCTTATAAACTTATAAACTGCAATTAGGAAGGCTATGGGTCTATGAAATTGAAAGCCTAATGGGTGACCTTTTGTCGATCGCACAACGTTCGTTGAAGGACTGTTAATCTGTCTCGCTGAGCCGAAGATTTCCCGTCAATAAAATGTTTTTTAGGGATTAAAGGAAAAGGTAAATCGTCCCGGAGAAAGTTAAGCGGACGCAGCACGAAAATTCCGTTGAAGGACGGAACAACAACGATGAATTAACTTTTTTTAGTTTATGTCCTATTCATTCATACTTACTCAATTTGCGGTGTAATAACGAACGACAAACATATGCGAATCAACATCGGCATGCATATTACTTAATTTATGTGAACAATATTAACACTAAACCTACCAAGCAGTAATACTAACCGACATGTACTGCTTCGCAAAAGTGAGAAGACCGAATTTATTTTGAATTTGTAAAGTTTTTATTATAAAACTTGCTCCAATGTTATAACATTCAAGCGTTTTCCACGGAAGAGTCTCGGAACTTTGCAGAATTGCAAAATAAAAAAGTTAGGCGGACGCAGCACGAAAATTCCGTTGAAGGACGGAAAAACAACGATGAATTAACTTTTTTTTAGTTTATGTCCTATTCATTCATATTTACTCAATTTGCGGTGTAATAATGAACGACAAACATATGCGAACCAACATCGGCAAACATATTACTTAATTTATGTGAACAATATTAACACTAAACCTACCGAACAATAGTACTAACTGACATGTACTGTTTCACAAGCAATAGTACTAACTGACATGTACTGTTTCACAAGAGTGAGAAGACCGAATTTATTTTGAATTTGTAAAGTTTTTATTATAAAACTTGCTCCAATGTTATAACATTCAAGCGTTTTCCACGAAAGAGTCTCGAAACTTTGCAGAATTGCAAAATAAGAAAGTTAGGCGGACGCAGCACGAAAATTCCGTTGAAGGACGGAAAAACAACGATGAATTAACTTTTTTTAGTTTATGTCCTATTCATTCATATTTACTCAATTTGCGGTGTAATAATGAACGACAAACATATGCGAACCATCATCGGTAAACATATTACTTAATTTATGTGAACAATATTAACACTAAACCTACCAAACAGTAATACTAATTGGCATGTACTGCTTCACAAAAGTGAGAAGACCGAATTTATTTTGAATTTATAATGTTTTTATTATAAAACTTGCTCCAATAATATAACATTCGAGCGTTTTCCACGAAAGAGTCTCGGAACTTTGCAGAATTGCAAAATAAGAAAGCGATCACTTTGATCGCGGTAGGTTTTCAAATAATGAAAAATAATTAAAAAAATAATTGTTCGATAAAAAGTATACGGCATGTGTTACATGAAAACTGAATCAATTTTTTGGTTTAATCCTCTTCGCGATTCATTACGGTATAATTGAGTATAAGAATCATTAAACATAAGAAAATTAAGTTATTAACATTAATTAAATATAAGAAAATAGAAACTTACGCAAAAGTGAAATCGAACTCAATTTGTTTAAAATAATAATAATAATAATTTGTTTTAAACGGTTAATCAGTGTTGGTTGTTTTAAACAGAGATTTGTTTTAAACAGAGTTGGTTGCATTGCTATATTTATAAAGCTCTGATGTATTTTCTACGAAAGGGGCTTTAATAAAAAATATAATTGTCGTGATATAATTTAGTAAATACTTTAAAATAGAAAACATATGAGAAAGTGGAAGCTTTCTGAAGGTTAAAATCGAACGCAACGATGAATTACCTCATTTTTCGGGCTAACCATTTACTTAATTTGCGAAAAAAATATAATTTGTGGACGCCATTCCATAACGGTTTAAAAGATTAAAAGGGAGGGGGAAGAATCTGTAAAAACGGGAGAGCGGGAAGATCGGTTTCACAGTCCATCCCAAGCAGCAGCAGTGAGTGGTAGTGACAGTGGCGACGCCAACCTCGGGAAGAGAAGAAATCAGCAGTGGAGCAACGTGCTTGGCCCATTTTAACTACACACAACTGCCGAAATATGATGGTTCATATTGTGTAATTTGTTAATAGTGCGCGTTCTGCTCTTCCATTTTATCGTTGCGCAAAGACAATACGGATATTATAATTTTATTGTCGAATACGTTTTTTACGTAATTTTCATAAGAACAAAAAGCAACATTAGCGTTAACACCAACGTCTACCCTTTTTATCACCGACACAAATCACCGGAGCCTCATGTCTCTCTGCTGGTATTGTTTCTAATGTTTTATACCGCGTCTGGATTTAACCATGGATGTTCAAAATGAGGTATGATATTCTCCTGTACATAATTAACAAGTTTGTTAGAACCATTTCTAATTATTCTCAGCAGTCGTACTGTGCGCCATAGGATTTGAGGTTAGACTCATGGTTGCATATTAAAATTGAAAGTATCGTTGATTATAGAACAAAGTGCAATCAATCTTTCATTTAACTACGAACAATATAACATATTACAAAAATTTGATAGAAGACATTTGTTTTTAAACAGTGGTATAAGTTATTGTATAAACTGCTACTTGTTTCTATTCATCTTTATTAATATTACCTTTTATCCAGATTTTACATGCAAAAACTTTTCTCCAAAAAATGAAGTAACAATATCATATATTTTAATTTTTAAAAAAATATAACCAGGACAGAACTGCTGAGTATTTATTGATTGACCTAAAATTATTAATGAATTCTACATATTCATTTTATATATGTATTTCATCCCTGTGACTTAACATGAATTGCGAAATAATAATTTAACACCTGTGTTTCTTTTATTGTAATGAATTAGTTTTTAAATTTATAATTATTTTCATTCTATGTCTTACTATATGTTTCAGCTTGATTTTCAATTTTTGGATTTAAATGATTTAAATGAAAGTGATAAGAATCATTTAATTGGTATTTTGAAGTCACCTAACATTACCGATGCCTTAAAATTACCATGGGACACAGTTGAAACTAATAATGATATCAATGCTTCTATAACAGAGATTCCTCAGTTACAAAACCAGTGGTATCACAATGGTAATTATACCAGCTTGTTATATATTAACATATATATTAACACGTTGCCGCATACTTTTAATTTAATGATCGTGCTCAGAAACGCATTTTTTTCTTCAATTGTTTATGACTGCTAGATGAAATCGAGTGTAAGTTGTATGTTTGGAAGTTAAAATTATCACATTTGACCACAGCTTTTCCAAAAAATCTCTCGAGTACACTACGTACTAACGCTGTTCTTTTTTTTTCATTTGCGGCAACGTGTTAACATAATATTATAATTAGTATAATTGATACATACAAGATTTCTTTTATGTAGCAATGCCACCACCTCCTTCATATACACAACAAATAATATGTAATGAGTGGCAAGGACCACCTATATATCCTGTTCCAACAGATGCCCATATACAACCATTTATGCCTGCAATGACTTATTCTCATCCTGGATATAATCTTGGTAGTGAAATTCATGATGTCAATTGTAATAGAGAAAATAATAGGAGAAATAACAGAGGAAGAGGTATAAGGAGAGACAATTTCAATCGTGGAATGAATCCTGCAAATGAAATGCAACCAGGATACATAGGAGATCAAGGACAATTTCATCCACAGTTATCCTTCGTAGTCATGTATCCTGATCAAGCTCAACAACAACAATTCTCTGGTCATGTTCATTATCCTTTAGCGCTATATCAGCCAAATCTTCATACGCACACTAATACACACCCGCATGCTCAGCCCACATATGGATATCCCCCATACCATCATCCTTCTAATAATATGAGGTGTATCCGACAAGCAGCACCTGTGCTTTCCCAACCTACCCAAGAATGTGCAAAGATACAGACTACAAAACCGTATGAAAAACAAGTCCAAAATGTTTATACACCAGTAAAGCAACCTTTTCATCAAATAAATGAAGAGGACAACTCATCTCAGACCAATATAGTCACTACAGTGATAACTGTAAATAACAGTAAAGTTGAACAGTGTAATGACAGCATGGACGACAATACTGCCATCAGAAAAAATTCCAATGCAAATGGAAAAGTACCTCCTGTAAATGTAAAAATTGAGCACAATATTGTGTCAACTGTAAATGAAAATTGCAATGGAGCTGAAAAAAATGATATGCCATGCGTGAATATCAATAGTAGCATTGAGGTGAAGCAAAATGGAGAAACTGATAAGGAGTATAAAAACGAAACTGTCTCTAGTATTAAGACTACGGTTGTTAAAACATTGTCCAAACCTATACCTAAAGGCGAAACTGAAGCACAAAAGGAAGACAATCTTGTAAAAAGTGTACTAGACGAAACTGTTAGTAAAACATTAAATAACTCATCTGTTACAGCTAGTAATGCTCCGGCAGCTGCAATTCCTGCTACATCACCCCCAAGTGTATCTAACATATCTTGGGCAAGTGTCCTGAAAAAGGGAAACACAGATGCACAATCAACCCTATCGAATTACAAGCCCACAGCACGCATTAATCCAATACCTGTTAGTTCAATCACAGAAAATAATGTAACTACAAAAGTACAGGCACAATCAGAAAAGGATCAACGTACAGGCACATCAGGTTTTACGAATGATAATGTGCAATCCAATTCACAAAACATGATAAATAAGAAGAAAATCGTAGTATCCACAACAGTGGGAAATCGGTTTAATCATGTTCTGGCCTATCAAATGGGTGGTAAGTTTCTATTAAATGAAATGAATGAAGTACATTTTCTTAAATACGACTTATCTATTTAAATGCTTTATTTCAGAATTTTTATTAAATTACCAAATGGATAAACAAACTGTGAGTTTGTTACCTCGTGGATTAACGAACCGTAGCAATTATTGTTACATTAATAGTATATTACAAGCTTTGCTAGCTTGTCCACCTTTTTATAATCTTTTAATGGCTTTGCCACATCCTAAGACTCCCAGTAAGACGTCTTACACTCCACTTATTGATAATATGTAAGTAATGTTTTTGATTACACAGTAAATTTTTTAGTTAATTATAGTGTCAATAAATATTGCATATTATTCTCTTTTATACAGGATTAAATTTGTACACGAATTTACACCTTTGTCAGATGGTGCACGATTGGCCAGAAAAGACAGAGCAAGTAAACGAGGGGAAGACACGATAGTAGATATACAAAGCGGAGTGGCCTTCGAACCTTCATATGTATATACAATGTTAAAAAACACATCAGCTGCAGGCGTATTTTCTGTGGAAGGGCGCCAAGAAGATGCAGAAGAGTTCCTTTCGTGCCTTCTGAATGGTATCAATGATGAAATGCTTGAAGTACGAACATTTTATTTATTTCGATTATATTTAGTAGTAGTATTTGGACTATACAACAGAAATAACCGTCACTGATTTCTCTCTTTTAGCTTATTAAATTAGTAAATAATGACCAAAACGTAATGGCTAGTGTTGAAACTAATATAAACTATAATAATGGGGAAGAAGAATGGAAGGTACGTTTTCGGTTTCTCGATTAAATTAACATTTAATTGCGAAAAGACAATATTAATCGCATTGATTACCGTAGGTTATGGGCCCAAAAAATAAGGGATCTATTACACGTTGTACCGAATTTGGTAGATCACCATTGTCCGATATATTCCGTGGGCAATTAAGATCAAGGGTCTCACGAGTAGGAGAACAACCCACAGATAACGTCCAACCCTTTTTTACGTTACAACTTGATATCGAGGTATTCTTTTCACTTAAAAAGAATTTTATGCAGCGTGTCTCAGCTAAATGGGATCACGTACATTGTTTCACTGTGATGTATTAACCAATTGATTCGTATTTAGAAAGCTGGATCTGTGAAGAGCGCGCTTGAGATTCTCGTTGGAAAAGATCAATTAGAAGGAATGACATGTAGTAAAACAAAGCAACAAATCGAAGCTTGGAAACAAGTAACTTTAGAAGAATTACCAGTCATTCTTATATTACACTTAAAGTGGTTCGACTACAAACTTGATGGTTGCTCAAAAATTCTCAAAAGTGTAGAGTTTCCAATTGACCTGAAGCTAGATAGTAGTAAGTACTGTTATTAAGTTAATGTACTGTTGTTTTCGTATGTGTATACTAAACTTATCTCATTGCAGAATTCTTATCGCCAAACGCTATAAAAAAATTGAATCCGAAACAAAAACACTACAAGCTGTTTGCTGTTACTTATCATGATGGAAAAGAAGCGACAAAAGGTCACTATGTTACGGATGCCTTTCATGTTGGATACGGTGGTTGGGTCAGATATGACGATAGTTCATTAAAAGGTGTTTCAGAGGGTAACGTATTAAAGCCAATCCCTCCCAGAGTTCCATATTTATTATATTATCGCAGATGCGATACTATCGGGAATAATCAATCGAATAGCGGTAAAGCGCGTTAGAAAAAGAAGGATTAAACGTGTAGGTGAAACTATATTTTAAGTCGAAAAAGAGGCAACTTGAAAGAATGGCTTTTACAGTTTTGTGATTCTTGTTGATATTTATATCTAAATACAGAGAGTGTTTATTATTCAATATCATGAGAAACAAAAAGCTATTTCCTTTTAACATGCTGTACTTCCATCGAGTATTTGTACTAAGATTGTTGTTACAAGGTTTATGCATAGTTTTCTTGGTACACGAAATAAAAAGACAGTTAACGTTGAAGTTGAATAAGAGTTTTGATTTTGGCACTCATAGTTCTATTGAAGTTACATAATTAAGCGCTTACACATTACATTTTATAAAAATATTAAATGTCGAGATCTCTTGTACATATCTTTCTTATCTGATTGTGAGTATACAATACGTGAGAAACAAAATATATACATAACTTTGTAGAAAAGAAGACGAAAAATATAGATAAAAGTTTTTCTACTTTAATGACAAAATTTCTATGAAATGCAAATTTTATATATATCTGAAAAAGGACATCTTATGCCTTAAGTTATTTTTGTATATAACCTTCCCGCGCTCTTATAAGTATATATTCCAACTTGCCAATAATTTCTTCATTTGATTCTGTGAGACTTTTAATGACATTTTATTTGCTGGAACTCCGTTCAAACATTGTGTTCTTCTGCTTCCAGTATTGGTTCTTTTAATAATTAGTTTCTATATGTAATTATGACTGAAAATGAATGGAAAACGCT